ACACCGACACACCAACAGACACACTTAGCGAATTATATAAAGTAGATAGTGCTCTCCAATCATAGACCTGCTGAGGGCGGTCAAGGTGAAATATGGTAATTGCAGAAAATCTTTCATAAATAACATTTTGTTACATCATGATAAACCGCACGAAACTCGTAGCGATAACGTAAGCCCTGCTATTTTTACGATCAAGCCTTACTTAGGCTAACCGATTTTTCTAAAAAAAATTCCATTTGCTTCATGTTAACTCGTTTTTAAATAGACCCAGGGTGATTCTTGAAAGCGGGAAGCTTTCAGGAAGAAGGGCTTCGTCACCGGAGCAGGCAGAACTTGAAAGAACGCCTATTTTGACATCGTTTTTTATTGTATTAAATTTTTTGTTGGATGTTTTACCTACTCAATTACTATTGTGACGGATTCTAATGGTCAGTCGCTACTGGGCGTGGGAACATTCAAGTGACCAGTTCGTTTACCCACGAGTTGCTTGGCAACCCGCCGTGGTAGCGCGTCATTTGGTGGTCTTATAAGCTCCAGAAAAGCCACCCCATGAACGGTTCCATTCACCGTATTCATTTCAGAGTTTGCTCATACTAAAACATCGATCCATTGATATTTCTTGCTCAAAAATAATTAGGCCCAGAACTCAGTGATACTTGTCCCGGATTCCTTCCAAAAACAGTGTTCTAGTTCACATATTCGGCAGGAGGTTATATTCGATTCAGTCGACGAATTTTTATACATTCTCTTCCACAATATTTCGAAACATTCTTATTGGACTCTAATTCTACTTCATTCCGATTTTAATTAGGTTTTTGTCTCCTCTCAGAGCCTTGCAAAAATTTTCATAACTCCATCACCATGAAAAAGTACTCCGAAAATCCTTGACGCAACTATTAGGTTGATGCATAATTATTGCGGATTTCTCGAGCAAATTACTCAAACAAACGGCAGAAATATCTAGCAAAGGCATGTACAAATAATCACTCCGCAACAAATCCACCATCACGTCAGACACTACTTCCCATTTGCTATGCACGCGATAGAGTTTCGATTCTTGGAGGCGATCACGCCTTGACGTTGGCCATCCACTTCGTCGAAAGTTGTGTTCGTTAACCATTTTTTCAACGGGCGATCAACGTGCTAATCCATAGGAGCTTCTGTTGGTGAATAAGGCGACCGTAGAAGCAAATTCCATTCTTTATTCGGCTTCGGCTGACTGTTCAATCACCGAGAAGTTCGTTGAGATCACTTTATGACTGCGCCACCTTGCACATTTCTCGAGGTAGTAGAGCATAA